AACCCATTGGCATTGGAGGAATGGGTGTAGCCTCTGCTGCTGGAGATTTTGCCAAGGTCCTCAGCTACGCGAAAAAAAACAACAAAAGGTAGCCCAAAGCCCAACTCAACAACACTTTTGCAATCCAGCAATCCTGAACAGTAATACTAAACACACAGTAATCCTCATCGCAGACAGCACACAGTAATCCTAAATACACAGAAACAAAAAATAATCAGTAACAGTGGTCTTTTGCAATGGAGTCACCCAGGCTTTGGCCTTCCTTTTGGCCAAGGCCCTTGCAGCGCCTCATCCCTGAGTTTGTCATGAACAAAACCTTCCCATGATTCTCAAAAAGTTACCCTTCCAGTGCAAAATAGTTTCAACATCTCATCAATCATATCCATCTCTTCGACAGTAGGGCTGTAAGTCGGTGGCCTCATACAGGGGCAACTACAGCAACAAACATTGAGATCTACTTCTGCATCCCAGTCACTCTGCTTTGCCCTTTGGATTTGCCCTCAATGGAAAACTGACATTGGCAGGATTGCACCTATGTAAACTAAAATCAAACAGAGGAATACAGATGCAGCCAAAGCACTTTGAGCCATCAGAAGGAGCAGTTTTGACAGGAGGCGGTGATTTCACTGGTAGACTTTTCACCTGTACAGCACTCCCTTTACAGGCCATCCAGAAGAGTCAAGTGGATACCGAGGCAGGTCACCAGATTCATCCACAGTAATCCTAACCACTCCTCAATTGCATACAGTAAGCCTACAGATTGCTAGTGCATCTTAAGTTCGAAGAAGGAGCCACTGGCTTGGCAGCCACACTACTGAGTTTGCAGGTCAATAACCCTACACTACAACAAGCTCAGTAATCCTACCACAAGAACAGTCCAGTAATCCTACCAAGTCTCAGTGCCCCTGCAGCAGGCTCAGAAGAAGCAGATCCTTTTGGTACATAGGGCCTGAGTGGCTCAATTCCCAAGACAATTTCTAATTCACAGTAATCCTACTTCACAGTAAACCTCCCAACCATTGCTGACCAGATGCCTCACCGCAGGATCGAAACCCCTGGTCGCCTGGGTCAAAAATGTTGGTAGACTGCTCAACATTTTTTTGCGCAACTCAAAAGACTGCAATTCTTTCAGCAACCAAGATACAGGTGCAGCATGTACTGGTCAGCAAAGGCCTTGAAGTTGGGAAGCCCAGGCGGTCTCTCCTTAGAAGATGGCATCATGAAGCTTGCACATTGTGCACATTGAAAGTAATCCTATTTCTGCACTATGAGACAAGCCACTGTGCTTGGCTCAATTGCTCCCACTCCATCTGGATCCTTGCAGTTGCGCTGCCATACCTGAACTTTGCACAGTATTGCAGTCAGTAATCCTAAAGAAATCTAAGAAACCAGTAATCCTAAGGTAATCCTAAAGAAAACCCAGAAGCCAGTAATACTAATAGAAAATCTTGACGCAGTAATCTTAAAAGTCTTCATGCAGCCCAGCAACGGTGTGTGCTTCACCTGTGCCTCAGATGGGCTCTACACTTGCTCGGTATCCAAATACCCTGGAAGGTTTCCCTATAGTAATCCTAGGGCGACAAAATGAATCAAGAAGCAAAGCAAAGGGGGGCATGGGGGCCATGGCATCTGACAGCAAGGACACTGTCCTCTGGCAATGTTGCCATTGCCATCTTTGGAATACCCATGGTAATCCAAAAAGGTGGTCCTCCCACGACCCCTACAACTTCCATGGTGGAAAGCCATTCCCCCACAAAGTGCTTGAGCCAAGACACTGGGGGCACAGTCGCCTCTGCAGCCAGCAAAGGCTTGTGGCTCAACCACCAACCAGCATTGAGTCGCTCCAGCACAAATGCTTTTTCACTCTCAGCCATCCAATCAAAGTGCAAGTAGCAACTCCTCACATCCATTCCTCCTTGAAGAAGGTGGCAGTAGGTTGGCCTCTGAATGCCAATCGACTGGCAAAAGTCCAGCACCTCCCACCACTCCATCTCCAGGGGAAGGTTGCGCACATACAACCTCCCCTCATGGCAACTCCACTGGCCCTGGCTCATTTTGAAAAGGTGTTGGTGTGTGTTTGTCTTTGTCGACAAGAGTGGTGTGTGTGTGTGTGTGTGTTTGGGATTGTGCGTTCATGTGGTTTCTTTGGTTATGTGCCTATTGCAGCTTTGACTTGTTAGATATTGCTGTTGTCTTTTTGTTTTGCTGCTGTGAGCAATGAAATTGTGCAGTGTGGAACAGTGGAACACACAGTATGCCTAAAGCGCAAACAATAATCCTAGGCAAACAGTAATCCTAGGCAAAGAGTAATCCTAGGCAAACAGTAATCCTAGGCAAACAGTAATCCTAGACAAACAGTCCTCCTAGGCAAACAGCAATCCGAGGCAAACAGTAATGCTAGACAAACAGTAATCCTAGGCAAACAGTAATCCTACGCAAATTGTAATCCAAGACGAACAGTAATCCTAGAACCAAAGAGTAATCCTAGAACTAAACACAAGCAGCTCACATCTTTTTCACACCCAAGGTTCACTATCCCAGAAAAGAGCCTATTGCTCTTCCAGCAAGCCATTCATAATGTCTTGCCTGACCTTGTCAGCAGCTTCCCTGCCTGCTGCTCTTAAAGACTTCCCTTGCTTCAAAGCAGCCTTCTTGGCCTTGTTCCAAGAGGAGGATGTAGCACGGTGCATGAATGTAGTCTTGTAGGTGGTCTGTGCTTTGTGCCAAATCTTCACAGCAGGCTTGGAAGGTTTCTTTCCTGCTGCCTTCTTTTCAGGCACAGCATTCTGTGAAGCAGGCTTCTTCAGGCACCCAGCAGCTCTTTGCTTTTTTGTTCTCTTTTCACCACAGGAAACTTGCTCCATCCAAGACTTGAGCTCTGCTGCTTCATCTGCTTCCAAACCCAGGATCACTGCTGGCCACCAGAACTGCTGGCCACATTGTCACCACCAGCCAAAGTGTCCTTGTTGGACTTAGTGAAGGAGGGTGAAGCTGGATCACTTGCCTTTCTTTTTAGAACTTTGTCAAAAACCAGGCCAAGATCTGAAGGGCTTGGACCAATGGTCTCATCGACCTCCAAAGGCAAAGCCTTAGGATTTGTAACTTCTGGTTCTTGCTCAGAGAATTTCAAGCAGGCCAAGACCCTGTCGATGTTGGCCTTCTCATTGAGAGTGGCCTTCTTGATGCAACGATTGTATACCACAGGATCCTTCTTCAGGGATCTGTATTGCTGGGCCCCAATCCTAACCAAGCTGTCTGTCTCGTCGCTCCAATCACAATCATGGTGCTTGGACAAGTTCAGCCTGCCCTTTTCTGATTGCAAGCCCAGCAAGGCCTTCTTCAATTTTAGCGAAGCTATCACACCATTTGTGCAAACTGAGAACAAGCTGCAGTAGAAGTCACACATTGCATCGCCCCCCAACCAATCTGCCAGGGGAGCTGATTTCCAAGTGACTTGCTGCTTGCAATGCAAAATCTTCCTTTGCAGCCCTGCCTTTCAGTCACTTCCCAGACTTGTTTCTGAAGGTCAGCAATTCCAACAGAAGGGTCCGGCCCCAGTCTTGATTTGCCACTCATGGTGCTGGAAGCTGCTGGATTTGTCTGGATGGGTGAAAACTGCTTTTAAATGGCTGGCTGCTTGTACTGTGGTTGTGTGGTTGTGTGATACCTTTGTAAATCTTTTCACAACATGATTAACCTTGCATTGTTCAATTGCTTTGACACATGTTGAAAAGGTGCATTGATCCTCTACAAGGAGCACTAAACACAGCACATCTCATTGGAAACTGCGCACACAAAAACCAGGAGTAATCCTACAAAAACTTCCTCAAAAAAGACAACAACAAACAATTTGATTTTCAAGGCAAAAAGAAAGATATTTTTCTTAAAAGATAAGGTTATATTTTTTAGTTAAGGTTGTTGTAGTCTAAAAAAAACTACCTTATAGCAACCTAAGAAAGTATCTAATTAGTTAGGAAATAAGGAATTAACTATTAGACAGGACATTGTCTAACCTGATCTATAGGGGATGTGGAAGAATCATCACCGGATAGCCGACCTGTGAGGCCTCTTGCCGACCTGTGAGGCCTACCACCTTACCAGACCACCTACCACCTGACCAGACTGGTTGGCCAACGCCTCTTGTCTCGTGCTCAGACGGTCTGTCATTGTTTCATATTGTTTCTCTCAACAAAACAGCAGTGATCATGGTCAAACCAACTGCAAGTGGAAGAATTGACTTAAGATCTGGACCCTAAAGCCTCATAAATCCTCATAAATCACCAAGTCTGGAAATCTGACCCTCACGATCCCTCTCGATCAAACATGAGTGAACACGTGGTCGCCTGGGGACGGATTTTTTCCACACGGTTACCGTGTCGCAGCGCCGGTGCAGTGGGTGCGAGTCGTAGTCAAGTGGACGCTAGCCTTCCAAGAGCAGTAAAAGAAAGGTTGACCTGGTTTGGTGGTCTAAAATCCTTGTAGCATCTTGTAGCTTGTATGTAACAGTTATTAAGGTTGTTGGGTAAAGACCATTTTAAAACCATAATGGTTGGGATCCCAGAATTTCCCGCATAGCTTTCTTCCAGTACCCTCCGACAGGTCACCAAGTGAGACCTGTTAAAGCCCAACAAGCCTCGAACGAGGAGACCCGTTTGATGTTCCATTGTATATGTTACATGGTTCAGTTTGAGTATTCGATCGATTTCGATACCAACATCCAGATCTTGCACCCGTCACGGCCCGTCAAAGATCTTGCACCCGTCTACAACAGGTCTGCCTGATGCCTTGCGAGGTTGGAACGGTAAGACACACTGCTTACTCTCCCTGGAACTAACATGGAAGTGGAAAACCACCTGTTTGTAATTCTCCACTTCCATGTTAGTGAGTCAGAGGATAAGTTTGAACCCAAGGGTATCGTTCTTACATGTGCTTACCAATTCACCATGTCCAGTGGTACCCAACACCACCAGCGCCACACCGTACCTCCCCCACCCCCCCGCCATCGGCGGTTCCGCAGCTGCACGTCTCGGTCATCGTGGCCAACGCCATCTCTGTCTGAGCACCGAGGACGGGGTGCGGCGATGCGTCCGGCGATGCGTCCGGCCACATCGGGACGGGTGTGGAGCTGGATGAGGGTGGATCTGCAAGAAGGATGGGTATGGATGGGTGTGGATCTGGGTGTGGATCGGACGCCCCCCAGCTTTTTGCAATTTGTTTCTTTGCAATGTTTGTTCTTTTCCCCCAAGCCTTCATCGCTTGAAACACACACGCCCGCAGCCACAAATGATCCTTCCGGCATGTAGCTGCGGTCAACCTGTTCAATTAGCAACTGGCAATCGCTCCCAACGAATCTCCAGCTCACCGTGGCATTCGCCCCGCATGGCGGCTGACTCTTCGCGATTGCCGTCCCCTTAAATCGGTCGCTCACGCACCCAAGAGTGCTCGCTTGGCAGGGTGCACGAGTCCACGATTCTCCTCCAAAGCCTTGAGCATGGCACTTTGACTCTTCCCACTGGCTTTGATATCCTCGCGGTTGGCCAACTTCCTCAAAGCTTCGGACATGCCAACCTTCTCAGCCTTTGCTAAGACTGTCGCCTGCAGCTCCACCTCCTCACCCTTGGGCGCCTTGGCTTTCACCGCCTTTGCCGCTCCATCTGCCCTTGGGCGGCCGCGCGCGCGTTTCGGGCCATCAGCTGCAGCCTTTGCCTTGGGCTCCTTGTCCATCACCTTGGCCTCCTTGGCCTCCAAACGCGGCTTCTTCACTGCCGGCTCTTCAGCACCCTCACGCGGCACGTAGGACTTCATGGCTTCGTCATAGGCTTCCTTCTTGGCCTTATACTCATCCTCATAGATCTTTTTCTCGTCTGCACTCAGCGCGCTCCACTTGGCAGATGCCAGCTTGGTCACTGCGGTGACTGGTTGACCAGCGGTCTCCTTTTGGAAAGCCGCGCGGTGCTTGGCCAGAAAGCAACCATAGGCGCCTCCCCCAGGGCGCTTGGGGGCATCTGGGTCTTTCGTCTTCTTGCCATCCTTCTTGCCCTTAGCTTTGCGCTGCTTCTTCTCACCTCCGGCTTCCTCGAATGCCTTCAGGTCCGCTTCATACTTGGCCTTGGCAGTCAAGTACTTCTCCTGATAGATGGCCCGCTCCTCTTCACTCAAAGCCTTAAACTTGGCCGAGGCCAGCTTCGTAATCTCCGTCACAGGCTTTCCTTGAAGCTCCTTCTGTAGCTCCGAGCGCTTCTCGGCTAAGAACTGCCCAAAAGCACCACCTGCAACCTTCTTTGGCTCGACCAACGCCATGTCAAATGAGCACAGGAAATCCGGTGGAACAATGTGCTCGAGGCTCAAAGGCTTGAGTCTGTACATTGGAAATGTAATCTTTGGACACCCCACATTTGCCAGAAATGATGGGAAGAGCAAGTAAATATTAGCCGAATGACCACTTGGTTGGAAGGTTTCTTCAAACACAACACCCATATTCCACTTTCTTTTGGGGGGTGGGAGAGGCATCTCTCAGGTTTCTCCCAACTTCCACCCAATTGGTTCCCAAATAGGCCGATGTTCCCTCTCCAACCTAATAGTAATGGCCTCCAACCTACTGGCGATGGCCTCCAACCTACTAGCGATAGCCTCCAACCTACTAGCGATAGCCTCCAGCCTACTAGTGATGGCCTCCAACCTACTAGCAATGGCCTCCAAACAAATAGCAATAGGCCGATGCTTTTTTCCCCCTAACAAGTCCTCTTCTTTGAGTCTCTGTTGACCGAACCGGCCAACCGCGAGGCTGAGCAGCCCGACATCGCTGAGCGCTGGCACACCCAGCTGCCTAGAGCGAAAGTCGAGACGTTCAAGAGGCCTTTGGTCCTTCGGTCGAACGGGACACCGAGCGACTGAGCGACGCGTACCGATGTTTCGCACATCTGGATGGATGAATCGAAATCCATCTCTTTCCTGGTGAAAATGCGTTGTTGCCACGAGCACCGACCCTTGGCTTCTTCGCTTTGGTGGCCCACCGGCTAGCCGGGAACGGTTCGGGCTGGAGTGGTCTGGAAGGGGGGCTTGGAGTGTCTGGCCGTTTTGAGCCCCTGGGACTGGACCTCCAAACAGGGCACCCCCCAGGTCGGAAGGTCCAGGTACCTGGTTTACTGGTAGACTGAATCAAGTGGACACCAGCACTCGCAACACTGAATCTACCTTAAGACTGATTCAGTTGGGGTCGACATCAACACGTCCTCCGTCTCCGGCGCCTAAGCGACCCGCTGCCGATGTCTGAGAAGCCTCAGTGAGCAGAACTTCATGGCGCGATAAAAGCGCGAGTGGCGGCATGAGGCGGCAGAACCAGGTCACCAGCGTTCCAACTGGTGCAACAAAATCCCCTCACAAGCGCCGACCAGTTAGTTTCAACTTGGGAATTACCAAATTGAAATTCTTGGCTCAACCATCAGTCTTCCCAATTGATTTTCTTCTTGAAACACTCTTTGCCAAACATGGACTGGGATTTGCCAGAAAAAGAGTCCGCTGTCCCCGATATTCCTTTCCATCCACTGAAGAAATATATAGACTTAAAAATAGCATTAATTCGTGGCTTCACGGTCGCAACGTTCCTAAATAACATTTAGAATGATGACCAGCGATTCGGTTGACACACATACACACACTTCCAAGAAGAATCACATGTGGCTTTGATAGAGAAGGTCCCTGCAATGAGGCCACTTGATAGTTCAAAGATGTCTTGAGCTGTGTATCGTCCTTGCTTGCTTGCTTCGCCTATCCCCGCTCCAGGTTGACATGTCTGGGAGGGAGGTCGAAACGCATCGGCCCATCCTCACCCGTCCCCGTCAGGCCGACCAGTCAGGCCGTCGCGATGTTCGCGGCTAGTGAGGCCCCCCACCATCCTGTACTTCTGGAGGCTCCTGGAAGACGAGATCAACTGAGTTTCCAACACAGTGCTCTACCTACCCGCTTCTCCCAACACACCCACGCCTGCTCGTTTCCACTTCCCAAGTGAACCTCCCTCTAGGTTTCATGCTCCCACTCCTGGTGGCCATCGTGGCCGTCGTAATCGCAGGTCTCATGGCTTCGGGTTTCATGCACGTCCTGCGCCGCGCCCGCCGAACGCCGTCCGGCGAAGGCTCGCCGTCCGAACCGGCGAGGCCCGGAGGGAGGGTCCCAGGAAGAACGACGAGTGAAACTGGAAGGAGCGTAGATGGCCTCCCACCTGGTTAAGCTGTTGGGGTGCAACTCGAAGTTGATCCACCTGGTTAAGCTGCGAACGCATGCGAACACGCTCCTTTGACCATTCACTTCCCAAAAGACCTTGATTGGGCACACCCATGTCAACAAATGTACCGCCAATACAGGAGTTCTAAGCTTTGGGCAATGAGTTTGCTGATCTAGTCTGGTCTAGATTTAGATGGACACAATCAACAGAAACCTAGCTGGTGGTGATACTGTTGATGGACAAAATCCTGCACCACCTCACCACTTTACCCTGGAAGGGTCGCATAGCAACCCCCGCGCCCCCTCATTCAATGTTGGCGCGACCCCTCTGAGGAGGTGGTGCAG